CAGAATTCCCCAGGCAGCATGGCTGGGTGGGGGATTCTGGGAGTTGAAGTCCACATATCTTAAAGTTGCTAAGGCTGAGAACCACTGGTACAGATTATCTAACTAAGAATTAAGGGCACCAAGTTGGAAAAAGCTGACATGACCAATAATAAGCTTTGTGGAGAATTAATCTTTCTTGATATAACACTGCAAGCTTTCTAAAATAGGAGTACCCAGAAACAGGTGATTTGCAAATGAGAAGCAACAGGAAGAATTCTTTAATTCATAATTACAGTATTTCTTATTTCCCTCTTCACCAATTCCCCTTTCTTAAATCTTCTTCCACACCCCCCTGCAACCCAGACTGCTAGACTCCCTTTTGGCATTATGGGTTGTCCTTGTTTAATTGGGACCAGCAACTCAGTTGTTAAGCAAAGTGGTCACTAAGTGAAACTGCGACTATGCTTGTGATCTTACTTCAGCTTTCCTTCGCTTTGCAGACCTGTGAAGGTCATAAATGTGAGGATTTAATTGGGACCAGCAACTTGGTTGTTAAGCGAAGTGGTCACTAAGTGAAACCGCAGCTGTCCTTGTGATCTTACTTCAGCTTTCCTTCGCTTTGCAGACCTGTCAAGGTCGTAAATGTGAGGACTGGTCGCAAAGTTGCTTTTTTATCACTGTCGTAACTGTGAACAGTCTCTAAATGAGGTAGTTGCTAAATACTGTAGGGACTACAACAGTGCTTGAAATGTGAAGAACAAACCAGTTTACCTTTTGTACCTCTGTTCTTAGCTATGAATCAAAAGGAAAAACAGACTCATCAAGCAACAGCGCAGTACTTAAACTCGCCAAAGGAGATGAAGTGTGGTTGCGGATGGGCAACGGGGCACTGCATGGAGATCACCAGCGCTTTTCCACTTTTGCTGGGTTTCTTCTTTTTGAAACCAAATAGGTCTACTCACTGAAAACACAGTATTGTTAGTTGGTTTCCCTGCTCTTTGGATCAGCATGGGAACGTACCAAAATCCCAGGGTCTGTTTTGACATCAGTATGCTGTTAACTATGAAATGTGACAAGATAAGGTTAGGCCTGAATTTATATATGCCTTTTTATGACATTTTGTATCCCACTGCACATTCTTGCCCTCTTGCTAATGGTTACTGAATAGTTACTGAACACCTACTCTGGGTAATTTAATAGAGTGATGACTGTAGTCTTTTCTTTTTCCATTCCAAACCGGCAATTTTCATCTGACCTCGTGCTCTAATGGATGTTGCATGGATAGACCTTTAAATGGGGCGTCATTGCGTCAGTGATTAATGTATGATCAGGAGCTCCTGTATTCTTTAAAGACAGAAGCATAGCTACGTATCCATTTCCACTCAGCAATCATAGTACAACATGGGGATATGCTTATCCTATATATGCACACATATATAAAAACACAGAGAGAAACAAAATTGGCAGGAGCCTAGTTGCACTTTTTCAGACAGTTTCATGAAAAAGCAGCAGCTTTCCAGGTGAATCCAGTGAACCTTGACCATAGTTAGCAAGCAACTTTTAAAACACTATAGCAATGGCTGTGAGATTTTTCCCTTTGGTTTAAGTAATTGATCGAAGCTTGCATTTAACTTTTTGAATGTCCCTCTACTAGGTAAAGTTGAATTGGTTGGCTTTAAGCAGGTGGGCAGAACACTCCCAAAACGTGCGCGTGTGTGTGTAGATTCTGTGGCAAATGAAGCAGACCCTGCTTGCCTCCGTCACTTTGGTTGAAGATTTGCAGTGGATTTGCTAATTTCTCCTTTTTCTGCTGAGTCTTTGAAAAATAAATATGTCAGTTTCAGGGCAGTTTTTTATTTCCATCCTGACTGAAGGCATGTTTAAGGAACAAGCGATAGACTATTAAATCTTGCAGCCCTGTATAGCCTAACGTTTAATTATAAATTGGTACCTTGAAGATCTTAGACTTAGCGGGAGTTGTAATCTGTAGTAGATATCATTAAAAAATGTAGCCTTGCTTAGAATGCACCAGAGAAGAGTGTAACTTCTAAAAGTATATTAGCGAGATGATGGCATGCTTTCAAAACATAGTTTCAGTCTCTTATTCATTACTAATAATAATATTGTGACCCCTGTTCTTAATATGAATGCCTTTTGCATTTGTTACCAGAAACGTGTTTTAAGTATTTGTTTATTTTGTAAACAGAACATTTACTAATTAAAGATTGTTTTGAATAAACCTCTTGTGCACAATCAGAAAAATACACTAAAATTCAGCAGTTCATACTGGATTTTCTTATGATCTTTAGAAGAAAGAATGTGGGGCTGGGGGAGAATTTGGCTGAGGAAAAGGATTCAAACAAAAATACTGTCCATCCAATATACTGTAGTAACAATGAAAAGTTGAGCAATCATATCATTTACATCATACATTATTTTATCTCCTGGATATAAGAATGGACATGCCATATTTTGTGCAATAGCACATATCTTTGTAGTTGGGAGACATTTTAGAGCAGCCTCCTGAACCTGATGTCCACTGCATACTATGCTGGCTAATGATGATAGGTTTTGAGACCCAACATACTTGGTTGTAAAGCACATTTCACACAAAAAAGGAAACTGCAATTTCATCATGAGCGTTTTCTGCCTATCAAAAAGAAAGTTGCAACTCAACCTGTTTCTTCCTTCTCTATCAGAATACAGTAGTATATACAATCTATCTTCCCTGAAGCTCTCACAGCAGAGAGACACAGATATTACATTATGTCATGCCACTATGTACAGGGGAATTTCTTTATTTTTACACAATATATATCCTATGTAGTGTTACCCTGACCCGCAAGAGATCTCCTCTTCCACACTGTCTTCTTCACACATACTTTTTTTTCAGTGTTTTGATCAGGAGTCCCCAGCTTACACGTTCACCACATTTTTAAAAGTTGCATGCTTAAAAATCTATACGCGAATGTTCAGTGTTGTTCCACTGGTTCCACCATTCCTTTTGTTAATTCCCCACTGTATGTACAAAGTAAGAGGAAAGTGCCCCAAATCCTAGCTTCAATCCAGGAGGCTCAATGTTCAACCACTGCTGCAAATATTCTATCTAAGTCTTATCCGTAACAGGTATTCGTGCATTCCTGATTCCTAATTTTATAGAACACAATGACTTGTTGATTGATCTCATTAGTAATGAGATTCCTTTCTGATCTTGCATAATTATAGCTTAACATGAATGAACATTCTGTGCCTACATCTCATCTTTAGATGTTACATTTGCATTGTTGAAGTTATGCTAGGCACATTATTGTTAGTTTCTTTAGTTCAGAGCATGCACTAGAAATATAGAACGCCCCAACTCCAGCTGCCCGTCCCCCAGATCTGTCAGTGACCGCCTGTCAGAATAAACAATGGTCTCATCCAATATGAGGCAGCTCCGTATCAAAGAAAGTTAGTAACTTGGCTTTCAAACAAATTATACTGAGGCGGCTTAGAAGATACTATAATCATACATTCAAACCCATATTCCAAATACACAAGACCTATCAGCCTTCGGTTCCTGGACAATGGGTGGGATGAATTTGGGTGGCAAATGCCCTGTGCAGCCCATCTAGGACTGATGGAGGACGCCCGGCTAGTCTCTCCTCGACGTAAACTTCCTCCTAGGCTGCTACACGGTTTCTTCCCTCATCCTCCCAGAATGCATTATAACTGCTGTAAAGAAAATCGGAAGTTACTTCTTTGTTTTTTTTCCTGCACTTTTAGCTTTGTCTTCTTCTTTTCTTCTCTTCTCTTCTCTATTCTAAATATTAGTTTCTGTTAGGGTTTATCTTTCTTTTTCAAATTTTAATAGCAGTATAGTTTAAAAATGAAATCATTGCTCAAATGAAACAGTTAAGGGGAAAAAACAGTTCCCACGTGTGGCGACGTCAGTGTGCGGCAGCCAGAAGACAAGCCGCGGCCAAACGGGCAAGCGGCGCCCTCCGGACCCACTGGCACCTCTGCGAGGCCGGCGCGCGCGCCAGGGGG